AGAGGTTCCAGCGGAGGGCAACTAAACTAATTAGGGGAATGGAGGACCAGAGCTATGAGACAAGGCTCATAAATTTAAACATTTTCACGTTGGAAGTAAGGAGATTAAGGGGGGATATGATTTTCATGTACAAGATGTTCAATGGCGACATCAACATTGGCAACAAACTCTTTAAGATTAACTCCGTTACAAAAACTAGAGGCCACCGCCTAAAATTTGTGGAAAACAAATTCCAGCACAAGGGACGAAGGGGGTTCTTCACGGTAAGAGCGGTTAGGGTCTGGAACTCACTGCCATCGGCAGTGATTTCCGCCAGGAGTGTGGAACTGTTCAAGAAACTCTTGGATGATTTCCTGAGGGACCGTAATATACAGGGGTACAAGTACTCCTAAGAAAGAGATGATGCGCGGACCTATATGGGTTGGACTTGATGGACTTATGTCTTTATTCAACCCCAAATACTATGTAACTATGTAACTTTTGTTAATTTCTCCCATGTGCTTTTCTCTCTATACTTATTCTCCTATGTATGCTCATTTTCCCATATTTATTCTCTTTCTATTCATTCTCTTTTCTGAATATTTTCCTTTACTCCTGTATTTTCCCTGTTCTTTGTATTATACACTTAGACTTGTTAGCCATCCCCCTTCATTTTGATCATGTTTACTCTACCCGAGGTCCATGACCCCTATGCTTTTGTACACTTCATGTGTTGTTCTTGTACTAAACATTCATGGAGAGTAGTCTCCTGCAATGCTTTTTCCAGGTTTACCTACAGGGCGATCTATGGATATTATCTTTGATATACTGTATGTTCCTAGGTAATGTGCCTAACTGTTGTCTACTTAAAATTGTTTTGCTTTTCTTGTTTTCACTATTTCTGTTTATATTACTATTTTTCAATTAAAAAAAGAAATCTTGAATAAAAACATTTGAAAAAGCATACACACACTGCACTTCTATATGTTCACACAGTATTACACATCAATAGTGGAATTGGACACATTGATTGGATTGGACACAAATTGGCTGGTCCCGCCTCAATGACATGTTGAAGACTCCAACCATGTAGGCTCACAGTGTTGCACAGACAGCGGGTGACACCTGCTCAGGAATTATGCCCTGCCCCATGCCACAATAGCACAGTGTTGTCACACTGTTGGGGTGGAAGGGACTTGCAGGGGAAAGCATGGGCATCTTCAGTGCCTCATGGTGCAGGAGGTAAAAATGGGCAGTTGGAGGTGGGCAACACCAATCTTGCAGCTATAATATATCTATATTTCAAAAAAGTAATGGCAGTAATATTGTCAGGGTACCAGGGGTCTTACCACTCCCCGGGGTTGTCATGTGCGGCGGAGGGCACGGGTTCTCCTTCCTGGCAGGATCCCTGGCACCAGGGTTGCGGGTGCGTATGTGTGGCAGGTGCCCGTGCGCAGTGGACAGGCTGCACGCGCGCGCACAGGGGTGCGCGTGTAGAGCGTCTGCGCCCATCACTGGTGTCAGATGTGATCTTTGCTGGGGGAGGTTCCCAGCACACACACACTCTCCCTCTCTCTTGCCATTGGCTCCTGGATGGAGAAGCTTCCTGGTTGCCTCGGCAGTCAGGTGTGTGGTCTTAGCTCCCCACTGGGTATAAAAGCCCAGTCAGAGCCCTGGCTCATTGCTGAGTTATTCTATCCCTATGGTGTGATCTCCCAGCTCCGTGTGCCTTGAACCATCTCGCTTCCTGACCCTTTGCTTGGACTCCCTATTACCGACCCTTTGGCCTGCCCTTATGTTTCTGAACCTAGCTGCCTGCCTCGACCCCGGATTGGACCTGGCTACTCTTCTTGGATTTCCCCCAGTGTACCTCGACCTCGGACTTTGGCTTGCCGCCCCTGCCAAGGGGTTCCACTCACGGCCCAGCCGTACTCCCCTGACAAATATGAATAAACAGCCTGGGTGCCAAAGAGCCCACCCTTAGAAACGGCAGCACCTTAGGTCTAGCCTAGGGGGCCTAGTGGAAAATCCAGTTCTTTGTTCACGGTGTCTATCCATATAAAAGAAAGCAAAAAAAAAACCAGGACCTTCATAATCTGATATTACACTGTCATGAGCAGTCTTTATATAAAGCAATAATAATAAACAATAAGTATTCTAAAGAGTTGACCCGATACTCTGTTATCACACATGAGCATATGCTTTCATGCGTGCAAAAGACATGTGAAGGCACATATTGGAGAAGCATGCACAGCAAAGAGATATATGCTCATACTTGTCATTCCAGTAAGCTTTGTACACCTAACAGGATTGTTGTCATAATATGCAGGCACAGCTATAAAGTTTAAAGCAACTTCCATTGTAATGCAGCTTAGAAACAGGTGGTTGGCCAAATGCACAGTAACTGTGAAGTTACAGTGTCAAATTATAGCCTAAAGTTTAAATTAAATAAATAAAAGTACACTTTGTTTATTCAGCTTTGGATAGAGTGGAAAGGGATTGGAACACCTATCAGGTTTTTTTATTGCTGTGTATGTGTCCCCATTAGGAAGATTCACTCTCTCTATTGGTACTGATGTCCCGCGAAAGTGAAAGAGACCCCCACACTGAGTTGTCACCAGAACAGAAATAGAAGGGAAATCTTCCAGTGGGGACGCTTGTTCTGGTGACACGCAGGGTGTCTGCTCACATTGAAGGGATTTTCTCTCATTTCCTGTTGTGAATATGGGACAGGAAGTGAAGAGAAACCTCCCCAATCTCCCTCACTCTATTATAAATTAAAAAAGAAAACATTTGAGCTTTAGTTCTACTTTTATATATCTACTATTAGGTTCACTAAATATATCTCATTTTTACCTTATACGTTACAGTTTTGGGTCACTTTCCTCTTGGAGTAAATATATTACAGTTATTGCCATGGGGTCTTTTAACTCTTATATAGGATGCTTCCAGCTGTTTCCTTTTATTTTAAATAATGATTCCTTTGATACTAATTCCAGTCATAACTATGCCTGAAAGGACTTGCCCCTAACTGTTTTGATAAAAATTCAAGCTGGATTAACCACTTTTTCTAAAGCAATTTTAAATTCACATTGTGGGAAAATGTATTTATAATAAATGTGTTTCATTTAAAATTGATACAGACTGTCTACAATATATATGAAAGCAGATTTTCAGATGAATAATAAAAGTTGCAAGACAAGAGCATAGCTCTGCTGTCGGAATTCTATTTTAAACTCCTTAGTTTCAAAGCTGCTTTGAATTTGGGAATCCTTGTCTGACAGAAAGCACTGTACTTTCCATGAAAGCTAGTTTGCTATAACTGCAGGTCAGTGCACCAACAAATGTGACTTATTTTAGATAATACTTTTGAGGTAATTTAACAAATTATAACATTTACTACATCTTTTTGTTAATCTAACATTGCTACTACATTAATTATCTTCTGACTAGAAGTGAATAGATTACAGAAAACAGCAGATGCCTGGTTTATGTTAGCACACCTTTTTTATAAAATGTTTGGCAGTTAAAGAAAAACAACTCCAAGACAAAGAGGGCACTTAGTGGGTGAAAACATTACCTATAAAATATATACTAATATATTTTTGTCCTGAGAAAAAAAAAAACTCCTCATCATACAATAAATTCAGCCTTGTAAACCTCCCAATATGGAGCTACCGAGGACAAAAGTATATATTTAAAATATAATTTTAATTCAACATTGTGTCAAATACATACACATAGAAAAACTATCACCCCAATAGTGAAACAGGACAACCGGAAACCATGGTATCATGTCAGGGTCACCGCCTATCAGGTGCGGTTTAGTAGGAGCCCAGGCGCAGGGAGACTCGCCAGTACTAAAAGTACCTCTACGCAAGTAGACTGGTATAAACCCACAATCTCTTACGCCATGATGACCGGCACAGGTGAAGTCCAGAAACATCCTAGCTAAATCGTAATCAAAATTCGTAGTCAGGGCGGGCAGCGAAGGATCAGGGTCAGATGAAGCCAAAGGTCAATACACAGGAAGGCGGCAGGATAATAGTGCCAGGCACTACAGATGACAAAGCTCTGCAATAACCAAGCACAGACTTATTAGATTGAATGGAATTTATACCTCTTGGTGCTCTGCTGATGTCACGGCTGGAGGTGGACCACTGTAAAGACTTGCTTGGAGAAAAGCACACTGTCTCTTTAACAGTCGGTTCAGTGTGCTCACACACGCCCAGCACATCACAGGAACTGGGAAGTCTACACAGGTGGCTAAGTACTGAGCAGCAGCCAGTGGAGCCAGAAAGCATAGGAGACACACTGACTGCTCTCTCTGGCTGACAGTTTCACACGGCCAAGGATACGACTGTGAGAGGTCTAGGATTGCTGGGGTAAGTTCTTACAGTGCCCTCCCCTAGACCGATCACTCTGGGGGCAGTCATTTATAGGCTTCCCAGGAAAGGAAATGCTGTTCGTAAAGCTGAGGCCGTCGGAATTGAAATAGAAAAATGAAGGGCTTCTAATTTAGTGTAATCAGTTTGAAAGTTAGAGCACTAAATGTCTGAAATTCCTCCATCAAATTTGTTAGGGAGCTCAGTGGATTAGTTACGAAAAAACAGCAAGTCGTCTGGGTAAGCAGCCACTTTTTGATGCCTATAGAAGGTCCAGTAATCCAGTAATATCTGGATGTAGTCTAATTTTGCATAAGAAAGGCTCCAAAGTGAGAAGGAATAGCAGGGGTGAAAATAAGCACCCCTGCCGAGTTCCATTAGAGACCTCGAAAGACCGGGAGAGCTGACCGTTTACCTTGACCTGGGCAGTTGGATGGGAGTAGATTGCTCAAAGCCAGGTTAACATATGGCTACCCATACCCTGGTGACAGAGCATGTGTGTCATAAACGACCAACTACATGAGCCATGTTATTACTGGTTCCTTCAGCACCTAATCAAACAGGTATTTACATTGTGACCATTTTTTTTGATGATGCATATTATTTGTTCTATAACTTTTGTGCTTTTTTTTACAGTGTTGACCTGGTTCACGCACAGATCCATATAGCCGAAGGAAAGAGTTTGCCTGAACTTGGCCTAAGACAAGAAAATATCCGTATCAATGGCTGTGCAATTCAGTGTAGAGTGACTACTGAAGATCCAGCTCGTGGATTCCAGCCAGACACTGGCAGAATTGAGGTAGACAGAGTTTTTGGCTTTTACTTCCATAAGGTGCTTTCAATGTCTGTCATGTTTTTGTCTGTCATGTGAATCAGTGGCATACTGATACCTTTGTAGTTATGATTAGGGTGCTCCAGCTGAATTATCTTGCTGCTGAAGCTCCAGAACCTAGCATACATGTGCTCTATCAAGTCATAGTACAGTATACTGTTTTCTATTCACATTTTGTTATACATAAAATTTACTGCCTGCAAGTGTCAACATTTTCCCTCTCAGTACCACATAGATATACTAAAAGTCAAACGTTTTAGATCACCATCATCAAACTGTTAGTTTTGATAGATATTTAAGCAGTTTAAATTCAGTATAATATAACCTGAAATAGTAGAAACATAAGCAGTAAAAGGACAAAGTTTAGGTTACCAAAACTTAAAAAACAATGGACATTTCAGTGTTTTAACCCCTTCATGACTGAGCTTGTTTTTAGTTTCTGTTTGTAAATGACTGAAGCACTTTTGACATTTTTGTTGTGTGGTTCTTCCACATCGGTAATATACTTTCTAAGTGCACCCACACATATTATATATAGTTCTTTAGAGGACAGATAGGGCTATATATTTATATCACATATGTGTACCTAACGCCTCACATAGGACAAATAAAATATTTAAAAAAGGAAAAAACTTAAAACACTTTTTCCCCAGTTTTGATTTGCAGTATTTTTTAGAAGCACAGCTAAATAAAATGCAATAAATACATTCATTTATTTCTCCATTATTTGGAAAAACCTCACATTTCTAGGATTTTAGAAATATTTCTGTACTTCTCAGCCTAAAACAAAAATCTAACATTTTTTTCTCCAAAATCTAAAAGTGGTCACCTGGCATACAATGTCAATGTCACTAAGTGTCACACTTAGAGACAGCGACATACTTTGAACATCACTGTCATGAGGGGGTTACAAAAAAAAATTAACCCCTTAGGTAACATTCTTTCAGGAATAGATACATTATGTTTCTATTGCTGAAAGTAAAAAAATAAATAAAAGCCAGTATACATCGGGATTTCCCGATCTATACCAGCTGTCAGAGTGACGGCAAGAGCTGCAAATGCTGCTCTACTCTCACTCTCAGACACCCGATTCCTGAAAAGGATCGGGTGTCTGAAAAAGGTTAACTCTTTCATTAATGGATGCCTCTATACTATACTGAGAATCAGCGGTTACCAGCATTGTAGAGCAGCAAAAAACTGGTCACGTACAGTGTACGGGGCCAGTCATTTGAGCACTTTGTGATGGGATGTACAGTGTATGTCTCCCGTCAAGAAGGGGTTAACTGTGAAATGTTAAGATTTTTCCTTTAGCGACATTGAAAGAAAGCCAAGGCATAGCTTAACCACTTAAGTCACACCATCTGTTTTATAATGGCCCTAGGATAGTGGTTATTCATCTCAGCACTGCTTTAACATGCGGCCAGTCTCAGCAGCTTGTAGGGGTCTTTGACAGCTGAGATCCAGCACTAAGCACAGGAGCTGAATCAACCAGCTGTGGGAATTCCGATACATGTATAGCTTGCTCCTTCCATGTTGTAGTTGCAGTGGGAGTGTAGTGACGAGTGACCTTCAAACCCAAAATACATCTGCCCGTGCTCAAGAAACCCCTGGCCACATTTGGGGAATCCCTAGATTTCCACTAGCCCTGGTTGAGAGTTGTAGACACTGCAAAACTCAAGTTCTGATACTGTTTAATTAACCATTATGTTTTAGCCAGCAAGCAATAGAAATACCAAAACAGATGAGCAGCTTAGAGAATTAGAAATGAATAAACCTGTAAACTGGCAGCAACTCTCAAAATTTGCTCAAAAAAGAATGCTACCAATCAACCCCCCCCCCCCACAAAAAAAAAACAACAAGAATTACAACAATAATGAGATCTCTGCACTTGACTGGGAGGTATACAACTGTTGACACATTTGTTGGTACACCACAATTGTATCTGAAATAACTTCAAACTGACCACATAATTGTTATCCATTATTGTCTATTCCATATTTAATCAAAATATACTGTATTTTAATTCAACAAAAATTTATAAAAATTAAAACATAAACATGGCAGGGTCAAAAATGATAAGGCCCTTGACACGCAATCTTGATATTGAGATTAATTAGGGTAAAATATAATATTTAGGAGGGAACAACCAAGTAGGACCGTTGGTAACAGGGATCGCAGTCCAATTGAGCAAATCATTGTGATTCGATTCTGTAGGTCTGAGCCTCAAGGACTGTGAACGAAAACAGGGTGGAAAATGGGGTAGGACTGTACGTTGGGGGTTGTAGGCAATATGCAAAGCGGGGTTAAGAAGATGGCGATAGATTAAAAATTACGCATAAACCTCGGTAAGACAGATATGTTTCCCACATAGGACTGCTGAAGGATCTATCAAATCTGTAAATGGATTGGGTCAAAGTCTATCAAACTATTATAGGAAATCCAAGCACCCCACATTTTCTCGAATTTAGCGTAGAAACCATCCAAGATAGCTGTGAGTTGTTCATTAAGCATCACGCCTGTGATACGGTTTTTAACTTCCATATAACTAAGCACAGGGGATTTCCAGGATTTAGCAATGGTTTGTTTCGTGGCCATGAATATGTGGGATATCAAGCAATGTTGAGTTTTGCGTAATCTCATTATAGGCTTATGTAGAAGCGCTTCCCATGGGTCTTTGGTTAGGCTACATCTCAATATAGTGTTAATTAGAGCATAAATTCGGGCCCATAAATGTTTAGCCTTAGAAAAGTCCCACCAGATATGTTTCATAGTTCCTAGATGTCCACAACCTCTAAAACATTAAGGAGAGTGAGAGGGGAAGAATTTGTGGATGCGGGTCGGTGTGTAGTACGAGCGGAATAATATTTTATAGGAGTTGTCTTTGGGAGCTATATTTCGGGAACAAGAATTATTGTTCCTGCAGATTGCTGACCAGACAGTTTCGGATTTAGATGAGCCCATTTCCTCTCCCCAATTGGTTAGGTAGAGCATAATGTGCTGCCAAAAATATCCGAAAAGGGAGGATTGGAGTAAGGTTATCAGGCTGATTGAGTGTGGATCTCTCCTACATCAGTGTTCAAAAGGGGTAATAGCATAGGGTGGAGTAGTTAGTTAAAGTTTTGAATTTGGAGGTAGAGGAACATTTCAGTTTGCAGTATTTGGAACGAGTCTCTAAGTTGAGCAAAGGTACGAATCCCCTGAGGTGTGAGCATAGAGAATATATCTTTTATACCAGCTATTGTCCACCAGGAAAATCTATTTGGGTGGACCATCCCAGGGTAAAAGAGAGGGCAATGAGTAAGCGACAAAAGGGGGAGATGAGGTGAAATCAGGCGACCTATATATTGTACCGAGTCCCAAACCTTTAAAGAGTGTTGTAATACAGGACCAGGGTGGTGGGGCATGTAGGAGGGTGGGAGCCATGGTAAATTAGAAACTAGAATGGGGTAGGCATCAATCATATCTATGGAAACCCATAGGGGTATATATGTTTCGGAGGATAAAAGTGCAAGAGGGGCTATTTGCACTGCTCTATAGTAATTTAGGAAATTAGGCACCCCTAGTCCTCGTAGTCTGGGTTTGAAGAGAACTCGATTATGTATTCGCGGTTTGGCTCCTCCCTATATAAAACGAGAAGTGTCTCGTTGTATAATGCGTAGGCTATGGGAAGGCACCAGTAATGGTAATACTCTGAATGCATAGAGAACTTAGGAAGAAAGAACATTTTAATAGCGTGGATTCGCCCTATCCAAAATATTCGAAATTCTTCCCAAGAAATCAGGAGCTTTTTAAGTTGGCGTAATAATCCCTGGTAGTTTGCTTGATAAAGTGTAGAATATAAGGGGGGTGCGTTTAATTCCTAAATATTGAATGGAGGAAAACCATGGGAAAGAGTACGATAGTTGTAATTGCGATTTTGTGCTTTCCTATAGAGATATATTATTTGCTTGTGATTTAGATGGGTTAATTTGTAAGTCTGAAATTGTCGCAAATTTGTACAATAAAGCGATTAAGTTTGGTAGGGAAGAATGTGGAGAGGTCAAGGTTAGTAATATGTCATCCGCAAACAAAGAGAGTTTATGTGGGTAGTGAGCTAGTGATAGGGCTATGATACCCGGATTCGATCTAATCGAAATCGCCAGGGGTTCGAGGGCTAAGATAAATAGGATAGGGGAGGGTGGACATCGACTGGACATCCCTGTCGGGTACCTCGGCCTCCAGACGCAAGAAAGAGAGGTTACAGCGACTGAAGCAACTAGAATCGACATATGCTCAAGCCTCTGTCCAATTCAAAAGCTCTCCTACCTCTGCACACCTTGCCACTCCTACCAAAGCCCGAAATGATCTGAACATCTGTTTAAATTTGGATTCTGAATGGGCAATGCGTTGGTCAAATCAACAATTCTACTCTAAAGCGAATACACCTGATGCGATGCTAGCCAGAAAATTAAGGATCCTAGATCCGAAACCTCGCCCCATTACATTGAAGACTAGGTCAAACACGATCACCAGTAATCCAATCAAAATACTTGAAGAATTTTGTTTCCATCTTTCCGAATTATACTCTGAACCCTCGCCCCCCTCACCTTCCCAAATATTGGCTTTTCTGAGTAACATAACATCAATTACCTGCCTCTTCCTCCCAGGCTTTAGACGGCAATATTTCCGAAGAAGAGGTTGTTCAGGCAATCCGCAGTCTCAAAACAGGCAAACGGGCAGGTCCAGATGGGTTTTCGACAATCTTTTATTAAAAAGAATTCGGACTTAATCGTCCTCCACCTTACTAACATGTTCAATTTCCTAAAAAAAGGGAATTATATTCATCCAAACATGTTAACGGACAACGTGGTCATGCTTCCTAAACCCAACAAAGATCCCGAAGTTTGGTCGAACTTTCGCCCCATTTCTTTAATAAATGTGGATATAAAACTTCTGACTAAAATTTTAGCCACCCGAATGAACACTTT